AATGTAGATAGGATATTACGTGGGCACACTGGTCCTTAGCAAACCTTTTAAGAATACTGTGGCAGAGCGTCACCCCCAAGAAGAGTGGGTGCCTATTCAGGCCAGCCACTGCTCACACACTACCCCTTGATAAATCTCTCTAGAGTGATTATCAAACTGTAAAGTGAGTATCCACATCATATTTAGAATTGTTGACCTCGTCCTCTGAGTTTCAAATGTAATAAGCTCAGGATGGGCTCAAGCACATATTGGCTAACAAAAAAGAAAGAAGAAGAAGAAAAAAAAAAAGAAATCCAAAACACAAAACAAAATTCTACAGGTGACTCATAGAGAGCCACAGCTGAGACACTGGTCTACCACAGCATGATCCCAGGCACTCCAAACCACCGTTTGGTCTGGGATGACTCTCCGTCTGCCAGAGTCAGGGTGGCCCATGACCCACAAACACCCCTTACATAAGGAAATCTCTGGTACTCAACATCCCCTTCTCCTCTCTACCTCTGGCAACCAGGAATCTGTATCTTGTGAGAAATTCAATCCCTAAATCATTGCTTTATCAAGACGGTGAAGCTTGTAACAGACCGTATGTTGCCCAGTATGCGTTTTCAGAGGAATTCACAAGGTCTGCTTGAAAGAATCACTAGGTAACAAAGACTGTGCAGAAATCACACTGGTGACTCTGAGCTCCCCAAGTCATGTTATGCAGCTATAATAAAAGGGACTTTGGAAATCACCTAGTGCAGTGGTCGGCAAACTCATTAGTTAACAGAGCCAAATATCAACAGGACGACGATTGAAATTTCTTTTGAGAGCCAAATTTTTTACACTTAAACTTCTTCTAATGCCCCTTCTTCAAAATAGACTCACCCAGGCCATGGTGTTTTGTGGAAGGGCCACACTCAAGGGGCCAAAAAGCCGCATGTGGCTGGCGAGCCACAGTTTGCCGACCAGGGACCTAGGGCAATCCTCGCTTCACAGAAGAAACTGAGGTTCTACACACATAAGTGACTTGCAAGGTTAGTGACAGTGGAGGACAGTCAGGACCAGACCTTCAGGGTACCTACACTGGAGTCTTTCCCTTTTTGATAGGATACTGGGGTCTGGGCTCACCTGTACCCTGTGGGTACATTACACATCCCCAATACACAAGCTGTCTGGAAGACCAAAACTACATTCATTCCTGTGTCCCCAAAACTCAGCATTCTGCCTGGCTCAGAATGGATGTAATAAGTGTTGTTGTTTTTTGAATAAAAAATAAATGAATAATCTCTTTTCTAGGATATAGCAGTATGATTTTTTTCCCCCCCTTAAATATGTCTAAAAATCATCTCGTAGATGCTTTCGGGAAAGAGGAAAACTTAGTTTTGGCAACATCCTTGGGGCTACTTTGAAATGTTGCTCTCAAAATAAACCTGTGTTTTGCAATAGCTAGCTAGCTAGACATAAATGTAGTATGGATCTACATGTGTGTGTATATATATGCACACACTCCACACATAGAGACAGACCTACTTCCACTGCCCCCAAACTGGACCCTTTCCTGGAGCCGGCTGAGCTCTAAGATTCCATCAAGTTAAATGAAAACGGCGGCCCCGCCTATGCAAACGCAGTTTTGTGAAATATATTTAACACCCAAACTGTAACCACTAGCCTGAGGTCAAGGAACAGAACATCTGTTTCTCTGGTTGCCAGACAGAGATGATGACATGACAACATTTGGGTGAGAAATATTCATTTTCCTCTGCAACCACAAACATGCTTATGAGAGCCAGAACCAGCTCCAGATGGCCCAACATGAGGAAAACACAGCCTACAAATGCAGCTTGTTTTTGACAGAGGAATCATTTTTAGAAGCTGAAGGGTTTAGAAGCAACAACAGCAGGATTCATCTGTGTCATCCCAAAGTCAAGCACTAATAGGAACCAGGAATGTGGGTTTGCGTAAGAGCCCTAACCATCACCAGCACAATTATTCGTTTACTCAACAAATATACAGACGGGCCTGGCCTAACAATGCTTTGACGTGATTTTTTTTTCTTTTTTAACTTTTAAGATGGTGTGAAAGTGATACTTAGTCAGGAAAAATCAAACTTTGAATTTTGAGCTTCTCCCCGGTTGCAGATGTTCAGTCCAATGTTCTCACCGATGCTGGGCAGTGCAGTGAATCGCAGCTCCCGGTCAGCCTCGTGATCTCAAGGGTAAACATCTGGTAGATACTCTTGTACTGTGTTGCCAGTGTTTGGGGATATTATGTTCTAAGCACAATTAAGGTAGGCTAGGCTAAGCCATGATGGTTGGTAGGTTAGGTCAGTGTTTTTCAACCGCTGTTCCGCGGCAGTGTTGCCTGGTGTGCCGTAGGTGCAGACAAGACAAGAATTTTATAATTTTTCACTATTTTGTTTACTTAATATTTCATAATAAAGTAATTATAAAATACTTTCTTTGTGTTTATTTGATTCCTATTCAAGAGAATTACTTTATATATAGTCAATATAGGCACAGAGTTAAATTTTTTAACATTTTCTAATGGTGGTGTGCCTCGTGATTTTTTTCATGAAACAAGTGTGCCTTTGCCCAAAAAAGGTTGAAAAACACTGGGTTAGGTGTATTACATACATTTTCGATTTATGACATTTTCAATTGAATGATGGGTTTATCAGGCTGCAACTCCATCATAACAAGCATCTGTGTACTGAGTGCCCACCCTATGCAGTTGGCTTATCTCTATACCAAGGATAAAGCAGTGAACAGAACTAATGTAACTCCATGCTTACTTTCTAATAGGCAGAGGCAAACAGTTGTTACATTAAATAGTGTAGACCATGAAAGGGGTGGGGGGGGAGGGAGGGAAAGGTGATAAATGCTTTGAAGTAGAGAGAGAAGTTTGCAAATATTTTTGTAAGTGTATTTTTATTGGCCGAAACCGGTTTGGCTCAGTGGTAGAGCGGCGGTCTGCGGACTGAAAGGTCCCAGGTTCGATTCCGGTCAAGTGTATGTACATTGGTTGCGGGCACATCCCCAGTAGGGGGCGTGCAAGAAGCAGCTGGTCGATGTTTCTTTCTCATTGACGTTTCTAACTCTCTATCTCTCTCCCTTCCTCTCTGTAAAATATCAATTAAAAATATATATATGTATGTGTGTATATATATATATATATATATATATATATATATAATATATATATGTATATATATATACACACACATATATATACATATATATATATGTATATATATGTGTGTGTATATATATATATATATATATATATATATATATGTATTTTTATTGATTTCAGAGAAAGAGGAAGAGGGAGAGAAAGAGAGAGAATCATCAACAACAAAAGAGGATCATTGATCCTCTGCCTCCTGCATACCCCCTATTGGGCATTGAGCCTGCAACTCAGGCATGTGTCATGACTGGGAATCAAACAGTGACCTCCTAATTCATAGATTGATGCTCAACCACTGAGCCACACTGGATGGGCGAGCTTGCAATTTTTAGTAAGGTGCTCAGGAAAGCCTTATTGAGAATGGATATGTGGGCAAAGACTGGAAGGTGGGATAGGAGCATGCTAACAGACATGGGAGGGAGGAAGGCTCCAAGCAAAGTTGGTGTAAATGCCTGATGTCCAAGAAGGCTCCCAGGGCCTGAGCCGACTGAGCAGCATCAACACTCATTGCCATGATCATTCTCCCAAACTATCTGTGAACTCAACCACGGGAACTGGGTCCAAGTCTCAGGGTGGCTCCAGTGTCCAATAGAAGATAAAACTTGTTCCAACAATCGTATTAGTCTCTACAAGTGTATGTGTTAAATTACTCATCCACTGAGTAATTTAAGGAGAATCGAGACTGTGTGATCTTACCACTAGCATTGCTGTTACTGGAATAAAAGTCCACATGAGTTACAGGACAAGTGCCACATACAGTCATCAGGCAGGGCACGGTGCTGTGAACAGATGATCTACTTTAGTGACCTTTCAAAAGTGGCAGAGAGAGTGGGTGCTCATGACAGACAGCAGGTAATTACTAAAAGAACTCTGCATATAGCTGCTGTTGGGAACGTTTGTGAAAATGAAAATTTTGCTGATTTCCAACTTGTTATTCTTTATATTTCCTTTTCTTTTTCTAATCCTCACTAGAGGATATTTTCCCATTGATTTTTAAGAGAGAATGGAAGGGAGGGAGAGAGACAGAGAGAAACATCAATGTGAGAAAAATACATTACTTGGTTGCCTCATGCACACACTCTGACCAGGGCCAGGATGGAGCCTGCAACAAGGTACATGCCCTTGACAGAATTGGACCTGGGACCCTCAGTCCTCAGTCTGATGCTCTATCTACTGAGCCAAACTGGCTAGGGTCCTTTATATTTTCTTAAAGCCACATGGTATAAATCAAAATTACTATAGAGTTGCCTCAATGTCTTCTAGTTTTGGTCCAAAGGTTATTCCTGGTATCTATTGCATTTTCTCATAGTACTATCCAAACATTTATTCCATTTCCTTTCTCCTTACTTTAATTTGTATTTAATCTATTATATGAACACCCTCAAACTAAAGGGGTACATTCACATTAAAACTAAAGTGATCTCAGGCAACCATAATCTGAATAATAACTCTTAAGGTCTTGTATATTTTGTAAGAGTCAGAAGACAAATTCACTCATTTCTATTCTGACCTTTAAAAGCCATAGTGGAAATGGCCCGTTACAATTGTTTGGATAAGGCATAATTTTTCACCAGAACTGTTTCTGGTTAAGTCATGTAGCTCTGATTTAGACTGTGCTTAACTCCTGACATCTCCTATCCTTAAATGATGATGTTGACACTTCTGACTGATGTAATTGTTTTTGTTTGGAGTAATGTGGTTTTTTGGGGAGATGATGGTGGGAGTGGACCAGTGAGAAAAATGAGTTGAATCAATCTATTATCTCCTAAGTGCAGAGTTCAACAAGTACAGCTTATGTCATATGCAAAAAACCCAAATTTAGAAATCACAAATATTCCAGTAGAATTTATGTTTTTAAATAGTGCCAAGTACAAACAGCAGGGATGGAAGAATGAGCGTGATTTCTATCTGCCTTTTCCTATGCCAAAGATTACCAATGGCCAATCCCTGGATAAGTGTCCTCACCACACCTACTATTCTACCTCTCACTGGAATGTAAGGCTCAATCTTTTTAGTCTCTGCCACTAATGCTCAAATCAGTATAGAGATCTAATGTCAGCTACACGTGACCATGTTCCTCTATTTGTAGCAAATGACAAATGAGCTACTTTAAAATTTCAAGTAAAACCAATAGAGACCTTTTAAGTATTTAGAAATTTAATATTTTACATTTCTACACTCAGTATTATGAAATGAAACTCTAAGAATGCAAACAAGCCTAAAAATTTCTTTAAAATTTTTATGACTGCCAAAACTGGTTTGGCTCAGTGGATAGAGTGTCAGCCTGTGGACTGAAGGGTCCCAGGTTCGATTCCGGTCAAGGGCATGTAACTTGGTTGTGGGCACATCCCCAGTAGGAGGTGTGCAAGAGGCAGCTGATCAATGTTTTTCTCTCATTGATATTTTTAGCTCTCTATCCCTCTCCCTTCCTCTTTGTAAAAAATCAATAAAATATATTAAAAATAAAAATAAAAATAAAAATTTATGACTTAAAATTCTAGTAGAAATAAATGCATACATCTGCATTATTGGGCATTTAATTCAATACTACAGACATTGAACTTCAATGAACTCCAATGGTCTCTGACAACTAAGAACAACAACAACAAAAGCAAGTTGCAGGAAAGATGGAAGAGGGCATAAAAAGGATAAATGGTTATGAAAAAAAAAAAATTTTAAATAAAAAGAAAAAGTAGTAAAGAGAAATAATGAGCATTCAGAATATTAAAACTAGTAAAGAAGTACTGATTTTTATAGTAGACATCCTATATAATAAAGAGGTAATATGCAAATTAACCCTCACGCCCTCACAAGATGGCTAGCTATAGCCAGGCTGATGGGAGGTTAGTGAAGGATGACCAAACAACTTAACAGCAGGCTGCATGGGGTGACCAGGCCAGCGGGGAGTGGGGGAAAGTTAGGGGCTACCAGGCCAGCAGACGGGGGCAGTTGGGAGCGACCAGGCAAGCGGGAAGGGGGTGGGGGGAAGGGAGATGCAGTTGCAGGCAATTAGGCCAGCAGTGGAGACAGTGAGGGGTGACTAGGTTGGCAGGGGGAGCAGTTGGAGGTGACTAAGCCAGCAGGGGGAGCATTTAGGGGTGACCAGGCCAGTGAGGGTGTATTTGGGAAAGACCAGACCAGCAAAGGGGGGCAGTTGGGGCAATTGGACTGGCAGGGTGGGGGCAGTAAGAGGTAATCAGGCTGGTGGGGAGGGGCGGTTAGGAGTGACCAAACTGACAGGGAGGGGGCAGTTGGGGGTGACTTGGCTGACAGCAGGGGATAGTTAGGGGTGACCAGGCCGGCAGGCAGGTGAAGGTTTAGGAGCCAGTGGTCCAGGATTGTGAGAGGGATCAATCCTGGATTGAAGAGGGTGCAGGCTGGGCTGAGGGGACAGCCCCCACCATGCACAAATTTTGTGCACCAAGCTTCTAGTATATTAATAAACTTGAATGAACCAGGATCTAAGTACAATTCCAAGATAGAGCAGTATATTCTTAAAATTACTATGTTCCAATTAAAGTGAGCTCCAGAGTAAACCTGGAAGGCTTTTGATATATTATCAAAATATGTATAAAGTGCAACAATTTTTGAAATTATAGCAAGGGAGTATACTAAGTTTCATATCAGTAAAATCAGTAGGCTGTGTTTATTACTATAGCATTTTATACATACTATACTGTGTATGACTATTAAGTTTATCTGAAACCTAACTCCAAATGCAAGGGATTTCCAGTAAGAAAAATGTTAGGAATAAGGTAGCAAATCTTCAGATTGTAGAGATTCAAATTCCTTAAGTTGACATCTTAATAATACATATATATAGAGCCAAAAAACAAAATCTTTAGAAATTCTGTAAACTTGAACTCATGTCTACTTGGACAGCAAAAGCACATTGGAATCATGCTGCTTATTTCTTTGTTCTAAGTTCCAAGTTCTTTTCTTTCCAATTCCACTGAAAATGATTGAAGAAGAAGAAAAAGAAAAAAGAAAAAAAAGCAAGGAGCTGAAATCTGAGTAGATTACCTCCATCTTCGTTAACCCAGTAAAGGAAAAGATTCATAGTTCCAACTTCTGTTATCTGATTGTCCTCTCCATGGAGCCACAGAACCTGCTGACACCCGTTATCCACTGCTTCACATTGGGCAAAGAGAGAGGAGCCGTAATTCCTTTTAAGAAACAGGAAACATACTGATTACAAATATTCTACACTTACCCTATTCCCACACCAAAATACCAACTTCTTTAATTCACAGGTGCATGTAATCAATGTATTATGTTCTTAATATGCACTATGTACTTAATATGTTAACTTTCTAGTTAACAGCATAACATTAACTTAGACCCTAATTTAATGGTTGGTTTTTCGACCTGCATCTGAAAGAATATTGACTCATAACTAAAATATTCTAGAAAGCTATGAGAAATAAGCACTAGACTACTTGACCACAGCAATCTGGGCAATGATAAGGGTTACTTACATGGAGGTAATGTAAGAGTCATTAAAAGACCTTCAAAACACAGATAATAAGATATAAATTATCGGTTAATCTAAATGATCTAATTGCACTCATTTGAGAGAAAGAGCACACACAAAGCAAAATTGTGGAATTCTAACTTGAAAAGTAGAGATATGAGAACACAGGTAAATAACCAAGTTAATAACAGTTAAAAGTTATTGAATATATATTTTTTCACTTTCCAAGCAATTTTACATGAATTATTTTGTTTAAGTCTCAGAACAGTATTGAATTAGCCTTCAGGATCATTTCCATTATTCAGCTCAGAAAAACTGAGGCTTAGAGAAGTAACTTGTATCAAGCTACAGCAATTAAGTAGCAGAGCACCAAGTCTGTACTCTCTTAACTGGGACCTTTCAATATATCCAAAAAATGTCTGAATTCTCCCGAAAATGTGGGGCAAGACATTAAAATCCTGATTTTAACCAAAAAGTATTCTGAAAGCCCATTTTTCCCAATCTGCACTCTTCATCTTGGAGTATTCAAAAATCAAAGGAACATGGGACATCTTCTTAGAATGACAAGATACTTTGGGAATATTTTAAATTTAGTTTTTTGTTCAACTTAAATGACATATATTTATAGAGTATGAATGAATGTTGAAAATAAAAGATGAGAGTCCTCAAAAAAATGTGCTGCTTGCTTGCCTCCCTCAGCCCCTAGTTGTAGAATTAATTTTCCTTGACGTTCAGAGGACATTAGCAAACAAGTTTGAAAAGCACAACCATATTACAACCAAGGCTAGAAATAAGTCCTAAACCCACTGTTAGACTATGAAGCCCCCAAAAGTACACAGGAACAAGCAACCGATCAAATATACAATAACTACTGCAAAGTGTCAATGTTATCTCCCACAAAACACACTCCGAGGCATTTTAAGTGATCACTTTTACATCTGGGCAAAATTAAAAATGTAGTGTTGTCTAAGTAAAAGCATCAATTAAACACAAGAACCTTTTAATACAGTGGTTACCTGCCATTCTCATCTGCACAGCTTCCCTTCCCTCTGTATTCCCCGTGGCTCTTCCGATGTAGCCAAGTCATTCTGCCCCATGCAATTGAATTAAATTGCATTTTGCCCCGTGCAATTAAATTAAATGGTGGGTGTGTAACCCAATCTGCTCATGTAAATTTAATCTATGGAATGTGAAAGATGTATTTTCTCCTTTTGAGGGTAGTGGCTGCTAGTTTGCTATGATGTCGCCAGGGGTCTATTGTGTACATGATCACTAGACTTCATGGGGGAAGACATCTGAAATTGGAGATCCTAGGCTAGAAACTATGACAAGAGATGGTGAGTGGGGGTGGGGATGAGGAGTAGGGCCCATACAAGGGCATAAGAAACTTGGCAACCACAATTTCAGACCACAACAGATCCACTGTTACCACCCTATGTACAATCAATCCCTTTACTACTTAAGATGACTTGTGCTGGTTTTCCGACTTGCAACTGAAAGAATATTGACTCATAACTAAAATATCCTGAAAAGCTATGAGAAATAGGCAGTAGACTACATGGCTATAGCAATCTGGGCAATGATGAGGTTTACTCAAATGGAAGTAAGGTAAGAGTCATTAAAAGACCTTCACAATATACATAATAAAATATAAATTATCGGTTAATCTAAAGACAATACAATCCTGGTATGTGAGGCTTTTATTTAATGAAAAGCCAGATAACCTTTATTCAGAATTGATGTTGTACAGGCACTAACTGAGTTAAATTATGAGTATCTTTTAATAATGAGTATTAACCTGACTTTTCGGGGCAGTCCTGTAGAAAGAGCATGGGTTTGGGTTTGGGTTTGGGGCCAGCTGGCTCAGGGAAGCTCCTGCTCTTCTACTATTTGGCTCTATGTGAACTGAGGTCAGTTCGCATTATTGCCTCACACAAATCGTCTGGCAAATAAAAACTCTGGTTATATACTGCATAGTGTTGTATAGAAAAAAACAAAATGGTAACAATAAAAGCTAAGTAACAGGTTATATAAGCCTCTTCTATGCCAGTGAACTTCATTAAAAAAATAACTATTATATGCCTAGCTGGGGCTCAGTAGTTGAGCATCAACCTATGGATCAGAAGGTCATGGTTCGATTCCTTGTCAGGGCGCATGCCCAGGTGGCAGGTTTGATCCCCAGTAGGGCACGCAGGAGGCAGCTGATCAATGATTTTCTCTCATCACTGATGTTTCTGTCTCTCTCCCTTCCTCTCTGAACTCAATAAAATATATTTTTAAAATAAAATTATAAAAAATAACTATTATAATTGACTTTTCTCTAGTTCACAGACACAGCTGTTGAGATTTTTTTTTTCCATATCTGACAATAGAGAAATAATTTATCTCAAAAGAAAAATTCCCTTTATTCTATTAAAAAATACACAAAATTTTCACAGTTTGAAAACAAACAGACACACACTTTTGGGAGTGTGGAAGAATTAAAACTACGATTCCTTAGCAACATCCAGTTACTTGGGCAGGAAAGAGAATTAAAGCTGACTGTTTCAGTCACTGAAAGAAAAGGGGGTTTTATTTGTTTTGTTTGTCTAATTATCATATTCCCTCAGTGGATTTTTTCCCCCTCAAAATTCTCTCAGGCGTAAGCTATAGTATTAATGCCCACAGGGTGAGTGATACCATAGCAATTTATTTGGTTCATTCCCATATGCTGCTAATATTCGGAAGAGAAACACATCTCCTTGGAGGAAAAAGAAAAAGGAAAAAAAAAAAAAAAGAAGGAAAACTGTCTACATAGAAATGTTTTAATATACAATAATTTTAAGTGGAATAAATATCTGAGAAAAGACATATTAAGTACACCTCTCCAAGAGTAAATTTCATTGTATAAAATCCAATTGATTGCTCCTAAGGTAGAGTCAAGATGATTAAGGAAGCACCTCATATCAACTATTGCCTCTTGAGAGACTCCTGCCTGCCAGACAGGGTACTAGGTACTTCACCCCCTACTAGAGATCAAGCCTGCAACCTGGACATGTGCCCTGACCCGAAATCAAACTGTGACCTCCTGGTTCACAGATCGATGCTCAACCACTGAGCCACACAAGCCAGACCCCACTACTTCCCAATGTACCCATGTTATCTTTTCCCTAGGTAGGTTGGGAAGCTACAAAGCAAGATATCGATATATAGAAGATAAACTACTTTAAATTATTACCTTTTTATCAAGATTATTGATTTACTGCAATG